AACGCTGAGAGGGTCTATGTCCCCCGGGGTACTGCCGGAACGTACCCTGGTCACTATTTGATATGGTTAGGGTTAGGATTAGGGTTTGGGTTAGGGTTAGAGTTAGGGTTAGGGAGTAGGCTAGCTCCAAGAAACGGTATTGCTAGGGTTACAATACCGTTTCTACCGTTTCTTGCTAGGGTTACAACACGGATTGTATAGACAATCCGTCGCACAGCCTGGTCGGGCTAGGAGTAGGCGTAGGCGACTCCCTAGACTCGTTAGTGGAGTAGGCGAGGTACGGTCCGGCATATTAGATAGTACCAGGGTACGTTTCGGTATACCGGACCGTACCCAGGGTACGTTCCGGCAGTACCCCGGGGGACATAGACCCTCTCAGCGTTAGTAGCCCGACCAGGCTGTGCGACGGATTGTCTATACAAGATGTCTATACGCATTGTCTATATTCTAACCCTAGCAATACCGTTTCTTGGAGCTAGGTGTTAGTAGCTCCAAGAAACGGTATTGCTAGGGTTAGAATATAGACAATCCGTCGCACAGCCTGGTCGGGCTAGGTGTTAGTTACTAATGCTGATAGGGTCTATGTCCCCCAGGTTACTGCCAGAACGTACCCTGGGTACGGTCCGGTATACCGGAAGGTACCCTGGTACTATCTAATATGACGGACCGTACCTCGCCTACTCCACTAACGAGTCTAGAGAGTCGCCTACTCCTACTCCCTAACTCTAAACCTAAAGGCCTAACGCTAACTCTAACCCTAACCCTAACACTAACCCTAACCCTAACCATATTAGCTAGATAGTTACCAGGGTACGTTCCGGTATACCGGACCGTACCCAGGGTATGTTCCGGCAGTACCCTGGGGGACATAGACCCTATCAGCATTACTAATAGTAATACTAGTAGTAGTAGTAGTAATACTAATAGTACAAATACTATTCTCTGTAGAGTTACAGATCTGTGTATGTGGGTTAGGTAGACTTTAGGTTGGGGTTGTGATGATGATGATGATGATGATGATGATGATGATGATGATGATTTATAAATGTAATTGTAGTGAATATATGTAATCAGGTAATATAATATAGTAGTTAGTACTATTACTACTAATACTAGTAATACTAATAGCCTACTAATAGTACTATGTAATAATATAATATTAATAATATTAATGTAGCCGGCAGGTTCTAAGCTGCGAAGCCTCAGGAAAGGTGTGTTATTATATTATACTAACTATGTAATAATATAATAATAATAATATTAATGCCGCGGGCAGGTTCTCAGGCTGCACACGCAGGGAGTCGACGTCAACGACGTTCTATCGGAGGTCGCCAAGTGCGTGACGAGCCGGGACGTCGTCTCGAAGAAGCTCTCGTGTGAGATCATTCGCTGTAACGCAGCGCGACGCCCCGACCTCTCGCTCCTCGTCGTGAACACGCTCCTTCGCGACCTCCGTGACCCCGACCCGTCCGTCCGCGTGCTCGCCGTACGCGCGCTCTCTTGTTGCTGCGCGTCGGCGGGCGACGCGGCCGAGCGGGCCGCGCTCGAGGCGACGCGGGACGCGAGCGCGCACGTGCGCCGCGCCGCCGTCGTCGCCGCCGCGCGGCTCGTTCGATCGCGCCCCGAGTTCGCGGACGTCGTCGTCGACCGTCTATACGAGCTCGTCCGCGACCCGGACCCGATCGTCGTCAGCAACGCGCTCGCCGCGCTCGACGACGCGCTAGCGGACGAGGGAGGCGTCGCCGTGAACCGCAGCATGGTGCGCCACCTTGCGGCGCGTCTGCCGGAGTTTTCGCCGTGGGGCGCGGCGCGCGTCGTCGCGACGCTGTCGCGGTACGCGCCGCGGTCGCGCGACGAGGCCGTCGACCTGATGAACGCCTGCGACGCGCTGCTAGGGGGCGCCACCGGCGGCGTCGCAGGCGTCGTCGCCGCCGTCGAGCTCTTCCTGCGGCTGACGGCGGAAGTTCCGGGCGCGCGCGCCGACGTGTGGGCCCGCGCGGGGGCGCCACTCGCCGCCGCGCTCGCGACGACCGACTACGAGACGATCGCGTTCGTGCTCGCGTTCCTCCGCCGCCACGCCGACGAATCTCTCGCGCCGTTCCGCGGCCGCCGCCGGCTCCGCCGCCGCTTCTTCTGCCGCCACAACGAGCCGCCGTACGTCAAGGTCGCGAAGCTTCGACTGCTCCCCCGCCTCGCTGCCGACGACGCCTCCGCCGCCGAGATCGTCGACGAGGTGCTGCCGTGCTGCATGGACGACGACGCGGCGGTCGCGGAGGCTGCTGCCGCGCTGCTGGGGGATATCGCGGCGCGCTTCGCGGGGGAGTGCAGGGCGAGGGTCGGCGACGTCTTTGTGCGGCTGCTGGAGCTTCGGCGTCCGCACGTCACGCGCTGCGTGCTGGCGGTCGCGCGCGCGTGGCCGCTCGACGACCGCGAGTTCGCGAACCGCCTCGCGGAGACGGCGGCGGCGGGGATGGCCGCCGGCGACGACGACGACTCGCGCGGCGCCCTCTGCGAGATCCTCGGCGAACGCGGGGACGCGATCGACGGCGCCCCCTACGTTCTCGAGCGGCTCCTCGAGGGTTTCGCGTCGTCGGACGCCGCCGGCGTCGCGCTCGCTTTCCTGACGGCGAGCGTTCGCTTGTTTCTGCGGCGGCCGGCGGAGATGCAGGACCTGCTGGGGAGGGTGATGGAGACGTGCGCGGCGTCGCCGCACGAGCCGGTACGCGGCCGCGCGATCCTCCTCTACAACCTTCTCAAGATGGATGACGACCTTGAGCTCGCGAGGAAGGTCGTGCTGGGCGAAATCCGCGATGGCGGTCGTGATGCGGTGCCGGCGGGTTTCGAGGACGATTCTAAAGCAACGGCGGATTTAGAGGACGATTCTAAAGCAACGGCGGATTTAGAGGACGATTCTAAAGCAACGGCGGATTTAGAGGACGATTCTAGAGGGACAGCGTCACCCAAAGACGCGTGAAATGGTTGTTGAACGTGTGCTGTTTAAACAAACTGTACAGTTATGTAATTAAAGAATGTTGAACGCTATATATTATGGTATGTTTGATGATGAGAAAGTACTGTTAATAAAAGTCCTAATGGCCTAAAAGTGGTTTAACGTCTGTCGCTACGCTAGATGTGGTTTTGGATTTTTGAAATTGAAATACTCTTACTGTAGTACTCCTTTCGTGAGAATGGTCTGTGCACCACAATTTTTCACATCATTTTAATGTATTTTGGCAACATGGCCAAGCTGACAGTTTGAATCTGTATCCCTTCATTCTTATATGCGTGAAGAAACGAGTTGGTGTGGTCATGCACGAATTCCTCAGTTAGAATAATGTGCAAATGCACAACCACATTGCACAGGAAAAAGCAAACAGTGTTACATGGTCTTACTTTAGACAATTGTATTATTACCTAATAATTTGCAAACAACATTTACATGGCAATGTAAACTTGTTACTGGTGAAAGGCGATGATCGAGAAACACTATTATGTTTGATCCGTCCACCGTGTTCACTATATTGATTACATGTAAATAAATATCAATAAAGACAATTCGCGTTTCGAACCAACACAGTACTAGTGCAGTTTCTTCTACCATAACTTTGGCACAGTGTTGCTAAAATAAATAAATTACATGGTCGGACAATACGCTACTGTGGAGATTTCAGGGGGGATGACGTCATACAAACCAGAGACCAGTTCAACAGCAACAGGGATAAAAAGTTTCCTGGCGACAGGTAAACACGTTTTTCCCAACGACACAGACAAGCGCGGGGGAGGCGGCTCCCACAGCTACCAGATGTGGGAGATCAGGGAGTTGCGCCACCACGTACACGCGCCGGGCGAGGGAGTTGCACCGGCCGAGCACGTGGCAGACAGGGGGTGTGACGCTCGTGCATATACTGGACCAAGGGGGTTGCATCACCTGTACACGTGTCAAGCGAGGGGGGTGACAACACCCAGTCACATGAGGCACGGGAGAGGGAGGCACTGCCAGGTTCCTACGTCACCGCAGGGTCCTATATAAGCAGCCAAGAGCCAACGGTAAAATCAGTCGGTCTTCGGACGGCCACGAACGAACAAACGAATAAACAAACAAACAAACAAACGAACGAACGAACGAACGAACGAACGAACGAACGAACGAACGAACGAACGATCACGCGCGCGCTCGAGAGAGCGCACACACACCATCGGAGGGAGAGCCTACCCCGGACAGGGAGACACACTGCCAACCCACGAACTCGCGCCGAGCCGCGGAGCACACGACGGGGAGAGTCAGACGGCTACAATATTAACAGTAGAATTGCTAAGAGTTAAGTTAAACGTGTAATCACCTAACGAGGTAACGTAAACGTGACATGAGTAAATATATATATATATATCTCTCTACGCTATATTTGAGATACGTGCAGTGAACGTTATTCATGTTATTCGTAAACGATGAATAAAACCATCCGTTGTATAAAGACTATCTAAGGACTTGCGTTCATTTCACTCTGGGGTTTTTCTTGCTACTGCATCACCTCATACCTTCACGGCAGGAGCGGAAAATGATCCCGACGCAAATAAATTACATGTGCCAACCACAGCACGTGTGAAAGTCCAGTGTGGTCACCTCTAGGGCCACTACACTACCACTTGCAGATGCATGGTTGCTGCAGATCATCATTATTCAGATCTATAAATCCTATATGCAACCCAACCAGCTACTAAACCAAAATAACACGACCTCTGGTCATACAATGATACCCTGAATTTGTGTAGATAAATACTTTGAAATAAACATCACGTATACTAAATATGACGTAACTGTGTACGTTGTAAATACTGCTAAATAGTCGAACACATGCCCATGTCAGAACCAATGTATTGTCAATAAATTTGCTTGGCATACCAATTTTGAGAAAAAAAAAGTATTTCGCTAGTCATTAAACCCACAGCAGATGAATTTCGTATATTCGTCTGAAATCATTTTATGCAGACGAGTTTCCAATAAGTTTTTCACACTGACATTTATTGCACAAAATCCACCAAAACTTTCCAAACTTAATTTGAATTGGTCGAACAGTGCAAATGGTCTAAATAACAACAACAACTGTAACACAGCAACGCCGTACACATCAAGAATATTTGGAGAAAAAAAAGTTCAGAGGAAAGCCTACACCAACATGCATGTTCAAACAAATTTTCACATAACTGTCGGGAAGGAGTCACAATCACTAATCACTGGACCAGTTCATTTATCGTCTACACAGACATTTAACGGTCACGCCATATATATGTTGATTATAAATAACTCCGCATGAACATACGGAAGCCAAATATATTGATACATTTACACTTGAAAAATACGATATAAAGATGTATTGCACGTATTATATATATTTACAATATTATTGCGGGGAACGACAATGATTAGTAACGTTACGCTAATAACCACGTAGAACAACTGCCTTTCATATTATCACAAAAATTTACAAATTAATGGCACAAATTGCTAAACAAGCACCAGTGTTCTTAACACCAGCAAAGGCACAGGACGGTAGCAGTCACCTCTATACCACAGAAAAACATTATCTAATAAATATCTGTTCAATGTGAAAAAAAACGTCATTACGAATGTAAGCACACAACTTTGTCCACACCCTTAACAATTTTATAAGTTAACGTATATATATATATATATATTGAGAAGTAAATGTATAAGGCACTTAAAAAAGGTTCACATCATTACAGAAAATAAATGCATGCATGTTATTACTCGTTGAACATACGATAGAGCAAATAACCCTTTTGAGCCCCCGGGATCACAAATACCGTGTCATAGCTGCACTGAACGTCGTCCGATATGTGCGATAAACATCTATCGATCTTGCTCTCTCTATCTATCTATCTCTCTTTCGTTCCCTCTCCCTCTCTTTCACTTTCAGAAAAAAAAAAAATTTCGTATTCCCACATAATAGTAAACTCGTAATGAGTGGAAAGCAGAAACTTCGATTGAAATCTTGGCTAATACAAAATTATCTATATGGACAAAGCCAAGACGAAGATTCGTTTATAAACAGCATATAGAGACACGCAACTGTAAAGCCCTGCTTGAATCCACGTGTGCTCACTCTACATCCACCAACATTTTTCAGCTTTACCAAGACACTGTACCATGCAATGCTCTCATACTACATAAAATAAGCCCTCCAAAGTTATATTAATATATTGCCATACTAGTTGGTGTTGACGATTCGTGCTTAGTGGCCAAATTGAATTCGTTGACAGGTATCATGTCACCTACCACGCTGCAGGAATTCATCATTGCTCAGTCACGGAATGATAGAGCAACCTAAATGTAAAGAAATAATGATGAACTTACAATTTAAAAGCAATGAAAACCATACAGTCTCTTCCTTATATTATAACTGTATTATTATTATTATTATTATTATTTATTATCAATTATTATATTACATCTACATTTGTTATACTACTATTTACAGTGAATATTTTACATGCTGTACATTGAGAACACTACAGCTATCACTAGATACCGAGACTACAATACATACCAGGATCTATTGTCAGAAATATCATACATAGTTGTGACAATCCAAACCATAAAATGTCATAACTTCATCACAACACTTCATGTGTAAATTAGAACATTTTAGATTTATTTAGAACAATTTAGAATTATTTTAGAACAATTTAGAATTATTTTAGAACAATTTAGAATTATTTTAGAACAATTAGAACATCACGACGTCACTACTCGGGATGACTCTGACAACAAGTGCGACCCTGACTGCGACGACATCGCAAAATCAACTCGCACGACGACATTGAATCTTACCACAGTCCGTACAGGAAGAGCACCCCAGAAAAGAAGACGCTGGCCGAAGAATCCAGAAACCATATGTCCGGGTTGACGTCGTACACCTTCACGCTCACCATGACGACGGCTCCCATCAACGTGCCGATCAGCGAATTGAACGCTGAGAACGAAAAACACAAAACAAGAGATAAAAGGGGGTACAGTCTCGAACACGGAATATATTATTCTGAGGCCGGGGCTAGATGCCCAACCGGCGCCTGATATTTATTTGTTATTTGGCGTTCATTTTAAATGCTCTCTGTGTGCATTTTGGGATTTATTTACATGGCTTTTGTGACTTTAAATTATGAGCTAACGAACTCACTTGTTAAGTGATACATTTATGAACTATTATGCCAGTAGATGGCGCTACGCGTTCATCCGGGAGATAGAAGCAGAACTTGCATGGCAGGCTTTTGACATAACAGCTTTAATAATAACTTTTGACATCACATAACAGCAAGTAACTTTTCTGGACAAAGCTTGTCGCCGAAACCATAAACAAGACAGTTGCGAAAAGCCATATGACCCACGATTGAGACACGAATGGATTTCTTTAATAAATTAAGAGTCTGAGATTGACTTTTCTAGACAAAGCCATTCACAGAAACCAAAAAAAGTCAGTAGCAGAGGTCCTATGGACCATAAACGGAGCCACAAAAGGATTTCTTTAATAAATTAATAAATAGAATCTAAACTATGCGCATCTCACCGTCTGTGAGGAGAGCCCGACTCTCCAGTTGGAAGCCGAAGTAGTACTTGCCAACAGCGAGGAGCGCGCAAGCGATCGTGTTGCCGAGGAACAGCGGGAAAATTGACAAGTGCTGTGAAAAGAACAATAGATCGTGATTACTTTACACATGTAAAATTATTACGGTAAAAAATTGATGAACCACCACTATTCAGGGCCATAGCAAGTGGGGGGAAAGGGGCAGTCGCCCAAAGAAATGTAGATCCGTTATATGATTAATTGCCCATGGTCACCTGCCCAAAACACAACCAGCACGTGGCTTCACCCCACCCCCAAAAGAAAATGGGTTCGCTACGCCCCCTGCTGCCCTATTGCTGCTGCCACTGCCAGTACCCTATAAATGTGACCACCAAACCAAAGAGTTGCAATCATCATCACATCACGCGTTGCTTCAAGCGATTCCATAATTTACGAGAATGATTCGTGCTGTACGAACGTCGTGCCGTTAGAAAATTTTTGCATTTTAGCATCCGTAGGATTTATATATATATATATATATATATATATATATATATATATATATATATATATATATATATATATATATATATATATATATACATATCAACTTGGCGATCTGTGAAGCATGCGCCAGCTGCAAGGCAACGAGCTTTCCATGTGGTAACAGGTGTTTCAGGTTAATCAACCAAGACATACCTATGCCATTTATTGAGAGCTTCGACTTACTTAATTGTTTAGCCGAAAATTTCTGAGCGGCATTGGGTCTTCCCAATTTATATTGGGCACGAATTTTAATAGCTACAGTATGTCAGTATTTGTGATTTTCTTGAAAAAGAATAAATCAGAAGTTTGAGCTTCTGAAGGGTGAATTCTGAAGTTTCACCAGATAGCTGTTCTCCACTTATTAACAGAAAAAAAAACCTTTTTAATATATTATAATCAGAAAAATGGCAAGCCAGTGCTGGATCAAAAAGCTTTCTCATTGTGTTCATCAGACGATCCTCAAAAATCTATTAAAATTCTACAGCATCCACTATCCAAAACATATAGTGCCTATATGCCTCACTCATCGTTACTCATTACTTCTCCCCTGTGAATAATATTTCACCACTTTACTGGCAGTGCTAATGTTTGGGCATATGACGCACAGTCAAAACTGTGTATAAGTGTCCCTCTACGAAAAACGTCACACGTGTCCATTAGAGACAGGTGCCCATTTGATAACGATAGTTTCACTCTATAACAGCGAAGGAATATGTCAAGAGTGACAGGTTATAGAAACAAGTGACTGTTCTACTGTGGTGGCCATTAACACAGGTGTGTAAAGTTGGCATTAATGTATAAGTGTACATTATAAACAGGTGCCCATTCCATAATGGTGGTTTCACTGTATAACAGTGAATGAATGGATATGTAAAAAATGACAGGTTATACAGACAGGTGTCCGTTATACATTAAGACGGGTGTGACTGCATAAAATTACACTAATTGCTACGTGAGAAGCAGACATCATACCTTCTCAGGCGCCTTGTGCTCGAGTAGATTATATACAGCCTTCACGGATACGCACACAGCAGAGATCATGAACAGCAAACTTAGCAGTATGCAGGCCCTATAAACGAACATCGCATCTATGGATAATCTATAGATAAATCATCAATAAATCAATAATCAATCACTGATAAATCATTTGAGCATCACCTACAATGCGTGAGCGAACGAAGAACGCTACATTTAGATTACGACGATGAAGAGGGTCTGGGAACTGCAATAAAATGTTTTAACATGTTTACCTAACGTTTGGCAGGAAGTGTTGTAAATGTGGGAATAGAAACCATAAGTTAGATGAGAAAGACTGCGTTCAACAGCTATGAAAACAGTCTGGCCCTGTTTGGAGAGAAAGTGAGGGGAGTGAGTATGGTAGTATCTGTCATGTCTAGCCACATGCAGGGACCAATCACTTATTGAGTTAAAATTATTATCTCATACATACTAATGTATAGTATATTATTATTATTATTATTATTATTATTATTATCATTATTATTATAAGTAAGTGAACTGGTATAACACTCACAGTTTTTCCCTGTGCTGGGAGTACAAGTTTCCCACCTTCCCAAAAAACCGCCAGAGCACCACCATGGAAGAGAGAAAGTCCAGCAGGCAATCCAACTGAAAATAATCAGGATCATGAACCTAGACTTGCTGATGCTGAGAACTGATCTATAGATCTAGACTTTCACATTGTATTTTTAGCTTGGCCTCGGGTTAACACTCCACACTCATCTACTTTATCTTTTGCAACGTTTGCCATAACTTTTAGGACAAAGACACATCTTCTATCTTCTTGGTTTTGTTGTTGTCTTGGAACCAAATTCATCTATGTGCAGACTACAAAATAAGCTTTAATACCAAATGCAACATAATACCAGATTGACACAACAACAATATCACAAACACCCTGTACTATCTGCATCTCGTAAATGATTGGTGTGAAAATACTCTCAAACGTAATCGGATCACCATCTATCTGCCGCATAGATCTACAGTCATTAATTTGACTTACTCAGGAATTACAGTGATATATGGAGAACTCAATCATGGAGTTGGTCAGACCACTGACATAATTACGATATAAATGTCAGACTGATCACTAAAAGAGTAGATGAGAGAAATTTTGAGTTGACCACTGATGCAATTGGGCGAGTCAATCGATACACGGATGTACTTACTGCAAATGCAAAAGCGGCATCACTGTTGTCGGCAACAGATAAAACTGAAAAAATTAAAATAAATAACAGCAAGAGAGAAAAACAAACGTAATCCATTCTAGCTGCCTTTCACAAACAAATTGGTGCAGTGCTATACAATATGCATGCCATCAAGTATCCATCCCGTAATACAACGACTACCTAGCATACACAGTTTATACAGAATCCATTTATTTGGTACAGCTACATAACCATCCCTCCTCTACACTTAGGGGTGATACTAAAGGCTAAACCAAGGCACGGAACTTACACCTACAGACAATGACAGATAGTCATTCTAGGGATTGAATTTTTATGCTTTGGGGACAAGTGATGCCTTGGGCTTAATAAGAAATGTAAGCTAAGGCACCATAGCAGACATTTCTCTTTGATGAGCCACCAAAGCAATGTGATTTTTATCAAAACCAAGTGGGACAGTCTATGAAAACCCAGAGGTGCAACACTTTATTACTTGTTTTTGTGTGTGTACAATTTCAAGAAATAAACCAGATATATTGGATTCTATTGGGCTGAAATGATTTTTTTTTCTAGTCGTAATTACATCTTCAGGTTCGGTATCTTTAGGTTTGTTTGAACTTATTGGCCCGATCTTCTCCCCTTCACACCTGAGATGGTACAGCCAAGGAGGAAGCAGGATATACACACATGGGATTTTTCGAAGGGCACCGTGAGAAATACCGTAGGGCAGCTACCAGTGTTTATTGCGTTGTAATAATGAAATACCGGACACAATCTGATGCTGCCAGCTAGTTGCATGATGAAATTAGAACCTTGTTAATCTCTTGTTGGATGGATACTCCATATCACCGAAAGCTGCACAATTGAATTTGCCACATCATTATAGCCCTAATATTTTTCCCTTTCATGTTATTTCTTAGTGAAAGTGTCAACACGCATTTAATTAGCCAAAAACTGTGCATATTTGTTCAATGAATGCCTTCTACTTGTACAAACACTTTTTTGTGACTAATATTAAATTTTATCTGCTGGTTATATATTATCATGACAAGTATAGTGCAGCTTTAGGTACATGCATGCAACGAATAGAAATATAACGGTTGATGTAATTAAATAAACTACAAAGATACTGTAAAGGTGTGCGTAACATAACATGCGCTGTGGCTAAAGTACATAAACTAACTAGCATAAAAAGTAGATAACACAGAATTCTCCCAGTAATTTCAGAAATAATGTTAATTATTAATGGACAGATGGAGAAGGGCCCTAAAGGTGGCTGTAAAAATTAGAGTCAATTACTCAAAGCCGAGATGTATACATCAAGCTGTGAAAACACAGCATTAACATTGCTCAGAGCAAACACAGCTGGAAATGAAGGCACATCAATTAGGCAATCAGAGCATGTCTGAGGATTTATGGGATTCCGCAAATTAGCTTCATAACAGCTTTGAAAGCATGTTAAAGCCAACATGCATTAAAGGCCTGGGGAGTGCCTTAGCTGTAACAATATCGAACATATATTTAACTGTTGCAGTTCAGATAGTATAAAGCATAAAACATCTCGATATATAATTTGCATGCTTAGAAATAGCATTCTACAAACAAAGAAAATTCAAAATTATGGTAAGCAAGTGCATAACACAGCTATGCCTATAACATAATAAGGCATATAGCATAGTTACAGTATACCTACCTTAGCACTTACCTTTACACCCAATCAATCAACATCAATTTATAAACCGAAAACACAATTATCATACAAATGGGGTGTCATTGACTGTTTGTAAAAAATTCTCAGATTTAGGTTTTTCTTTTATTATCATACAGATGGAGTGTCAATGACTGTTTGTAAAAATCTATTTCTCAGATTTCCATTATATTTTCCGTTGGCAGTTACGTGATACTACGTAGCAACTTCACTTACTGAGACTGGTGATGCCAAGCACCAAGGTTATCAGCAGAGAAATAGCAGTCAGCACCAAGGTGAACTTGCGATACTGGACAGCTTTTTGTGGAGACAACTTTCTATCGTCCGGGACTAAATCCGCTAAAAAAAATAAACAAGCAGCGATTATTAATCGTTAATGCTGACACCCATACAAATCAAAATAAACAAACAATGCCGGAGAATTTACGACGTTATGTTCACAAACACAAATTTCAATCGATTGAACTGTACACAAGATTACGATTGATTAATAAACTGTCATCAAATTTTAATTGCGCACGTATGTCCCTGGCATACGTATGAGAGAAAGAAATCGATCGAGAAAGTGAGAGTTTAAAAGACTGAACAGCTGACTGACACATTTGTGTCCTAGCAAAGCAGATTTTACGATCTTTTACTAGATTTGTACAGATTATAACGCGTAAATACAGAAGTAAAAATCGTGCATGTCATATATTTATTCGTGACATCTGCGCATGGCTGCCACTATAGTCATCAGCCATTACATCTAAATGTCTAGTACAAAAAAAAACCAGTCGATAAAAGATGGCAAGACGACATTCCAATATTCTAGCAATATTCTGGCAATGACTAGCCAATATTCTGGTCCCTGGAAAACATCCTTGGGGGGGGGAGGGGGAGTTCTTCTAGGGTTATAAGCAGAAGGCCCTTACACCTACATATTTTTTGTACCTTACACCTACATATTTTTTGTACTTATAAATTACACCTACATATTTTTTGTACCTTACACCTACATATTTTTTGTACTTTACACCTACATATTTTTTGTACATTTACAGGTTAATGATAATGTCTCACGAGTGTCTCCCATCATTAACGAATGACTGTCAGATCTCAAATTTCGTCGCCATGCCAAACCTCACAACCCGACTGTCTGCATCCGTACTCTCCCCCCCCCACTTCGGGGCGGCGCTCCTTATAACCAAGAGCTTCCCATGCTATATCGCACTCTTACAGTTACAATCTGCCACTCCTTAAAAAATTCTATGTTTGGGCTGTCCCGCTCGACCCCATGATTTTGGTCGGTAGGTTAGGTAGGCTTTTTGTGTGAGGCATATAGTTATGTTTAAGTCTGTCCTCTATGTTTGGCCCACCACATGCTTTGTGTTTCAGTCTTAACTATGAAGGAATATTAAAAAAAAACAAAATGGAACCAAAATGTTATAAAAAAAATTGGGTCCGGCGGCTATTTTCGTGGGTCGTCGGAGCACTAGCAAAGTGGCAACATGATAATTTTTTAAGGATTGCCTCGACTTTATTCTTCCTCGGTACATCTAACACTAACGACTAGGCCCAGGCCACTGCAGCACCACAGATGCATCGGTGGTTGAAAAGCGCTCAAGGATCTCAGGGCTACAGGGCTACTGGCAATAAGGCATTTTCAGGATGTTCCCATCTAGTCTGGTCGCTCCCCGCAGTCCCCGCATTCATGGCCATCTTCATGTGTATGCCCTCATTTCTGCATGATGTGGCCCTAACTCGACCAACCCTGTGGCCTGAGGCGATTTGGCATAACCACTGGGCCATACCCCGTTATGGCTCCGGGTGAGAAGGATTCCTGGGTCTGAGTGAAACTTATGTTGCCTTGCCTGGAAGATCTCTGACATTGGGCGATCCTGTAGTTTGGAGGTTGCCATCGGCAGGTTGAATCCGCGTGGATGAACTGTGGCCTGGACTTTAGTTCTGTCTTGATACTGTTTCATGATGGAAGAGGAAGCATTCTCCTTAGACGTGTGAGGAGCGGGATGCCACAGAGCCAGGTAGAGTCATGCTACGTGGTTGGTCTCAAGCATCGCCAGAAATCTGCTGCTGTCAGCACTGTTCAGACCTGGTGTCAGTTTTGGCAGCATGGTGGCTACCTTACTCCAGACAGGGTCAGCGCATAACTCAAGCCCGCAGAGTAGCACAGGCGTATAGCATGTGGTTCTGATTAGTCGCCGCGTCCATCGTTCCCCATTTAGTATTGCCGAACTTCCTTAGAATACTGTTTCTGGCAGCCCATCTTTGGCCTTTGTCTTGATGATGTGATTCTTGTAAGTTAGAGAGGGTCCTAAAAGTAACACCTAGTGAGACTGCGCTATATGGTATGGTTCAGCATTTGTCATACCATTTGACTTTCAGTTGCAGTTCGCCTCCTTGTTCTTAGATGGAAATGCACTTATTTGAGTTTTCCCGAATGGCTTCGTATATGTTTGCTGTGTTAGGTCCATGCGAAGAGGCATCGGTATGACCGTTCGTCTTGCATAAAGACTGTTTTTGTGAAGCAATGCAGGAGGTTCATCTGCATAACAGGAAACTCCGCTGTTTTGTGTGACTGGTGCTGGTCATTTGGTGTCTAGCTTATAAGAGCGGATGGGCAGGACGCTTTCTTGTGGGAGGGCCATTTTTCTGTCTACGCCATCTGCTGCGCGTTATCCATTGAGATCCTACAAAAACAAACCTGTTTGCCAACATGTTGCTGATTAGTTTCTGCGTAGTGCCTCACATTCTTACTAACTGTATAGTTTTTTGGTTTTAGAAATTCGATGGTTGACTGTGGTCGTAGGCTGCCGAGAGGCTCCAACATAAAGCCTGCTCCAGTAATTAACTCTTCTCATAGCCCGTCTCCGATTGAAACTGGTAAGGTTACAGAGTTGTTGTAAAGGATTTTTCTGGTCTGAAACCTGCCTTGCTCTGGATGAGATTTATCCATGTGAAACGGTTCAAAACGGTTGAGATGAGTCTTTCGAAAGAGCGCTTGTGATGTATGGCTTGAGCAATGAGATGGCCTATAGCTACTTGGACTAGCTGGTGCTTTACAGGCTTTAGTATTGCAAGACTTGGCCTTCCTCCACAAGCTTTGGATGTTGTAGTGCAGAGGCAGCGTGTTAAAATATCAAGCACTCATTGAAAGTAGCATGGGGCCAAGATGCTTGATCTGCTCACACAAAGATATCGTCGCGGTCAGCTTATTATTTTTTCATTAATATTGATAACCCATTAGCATGCTCGGAAATAAGCGCGTTGCCCGTTGTCCGAGACAAACACCCAGTAATTGTGCCGGACCAACCTATGCCAGTCAGAACATGTCCCGGTGACAACCAAAAAAAAGTTGACGAAAAAATCGCACTGTTAATTTATGTTTTCTCAAGGGTTGCTCACATGAGCACTGTATAGCCTGCGGCCCGCCATTAATCTATGGTTTGGAAGCGATGTATACCAGCTCTTAATTTTCCACAACGTTAAATGTCAGGTTTCCTGACTTTATGAGAGGTGACTCTGATTGGAACCAGCAAACCAGCAAAGTTCCACCCCTACATGATTTGGTAATGTTTTATGACCATTATTATTTTTGTTTTCGATCGCTTTGCCCATTGCAAAACAAACAAACAATGCAGTGGGATATCATGTGACCGAAAGTTCAAAAAAAAGAGGAATTGTTTAGTCCAAAGTGAAGGCTGTACAATGTATATCAAAAGTGCTGTCAAATACCGATCTCCTCACGCGATCTACATTCAAAATTTTCTGGGGGAGGATCCCGCAAATACCCCCCCGCTTTTAATTCACTCCTCCTTGGAATCCGCAGAAACTCCGCCACTGAACAATTACATATCTGGGAAGCTAGAGAACATTGAACAAAAATTCTGCCTTTTCAAGCATGGCACAAAACAAAGATTGCAGAGAAGTAGAATGACTGTTAAATGGTGTGAGAGGGAGGCGGAGAGACCATTACATTAAGTTAATCATGCCATGATTTGTGCGCAGTTTGCTGTTTTGGCCACCCTGTTAAAAATCCTGGCTACAACCACATTGTTTTTTGGGGTGTTCCCTGACCATATTAATTATTTATTTTAGATGCATTTGAAATATGTAAATTTGGCGAGATTTTTTTGGACAACCAGAAATTGTTGCCGGACAACCTGATTTGATGGGCCTGGGTTTCCGCAAGACTCAACCACTAATCTTTTTTTTCCTATTTCATCACTGCCCTTAGTCAGTTCGCTACATATTAGAAAGTCTTGTGAAAATCCTTGTTCTCTGTGTTTATACATTGAGCCTTTTGTAAGTTTGTCCATACTGGGATGAATGATTATGAGTTTCCCTGGCAGTTCACAAGGATTTGATGAGCAATCCTGGTCAGCAGTCACCTTCTGGTCTTGGGTAATACTATTAGAAGAGTCTTTCACGTACATCGCGAATGCTTCCACGACTCTTTTCTACTACTATGGGTCATGTTATTGGACTGGATGATTTCTCATTTCCCCGTCTGCCTTTCTGCTATGGCTTCCAGTATCTCTCACCAGAGTCAACGTGTGGTCACCGAACGCGATCAACGTCTGAAAACATTTACATATTCCTATGTGTTTAGTTCTCAATCAGTTGTAATTTTCGTAATCGATTCATCGTTGGACCGCAAGAACCGATAGCAGGTTTCCTACGTTGCGCAAACGGGGCGCTCCGCAAAGCCCCTTTGGGAAAAGCTCCCTCCATGTTTCAAATCTTGCGCCCCGTTATGAACATAACCTCCGCCCGATTAATTCCCACCAATAAAAAGTTGACAGCTGGCGGAATTTCGATCGTCAAGAATTCCTATTCGATCTCAGACCACCGACGCTGTATTTTTACGGACCACGCATGCAACTGCAGACCATACACAAGTACAAACCCAGTTAACCTGTACCCGAACCCAACACTAAAACTGTACACCAACTCGGCTATTCTATATAATAACAAAACCGCCAAATACTAGTCCTATGGTGTTGGCTATTACAGCATTAATAGTGGTAACGTAAATAAAACACCCCCAGTCCCCCCTAAGTTTTCCGCCTCCCCTCCCCCTGCCCCTCCCCCTGTTCAATTTTATCCTGTGGGAAGAAAACAGCCTTTCGATGCATCGTTACAATCGTTACTCGGGGTTGATATGCCTCGTGTGTTCGTAACTCGATGTCATTGTATGTGCTTGTATTAGTCCCTGTTTACTGTTTGTTTGCCACTGTTTACTAACTTGGTTTATAAACATGTATGTTATATAAAGAAAACTTTTAATGTAAGTGATGATATTCTCTGATTCTCATCATTTTCGCCAATTTTCTTTGTTTATCGTTTGATATTATTTAGATTTTTTTTGTTTGTTGATGATATCGATTAATTGAATTTTGAAATAACCAAGCGCGTTGTTAGAGCCACGTGTTCCAAACTGATATTCGGAGTATAATTGATGAAATCGTGACATCAACTACATAGTCCTCAAAAAGTGCTTCAAAGTCACCCGTCAGACCTGGAATGTAACTTGTGCGGCATCCTCGAGGTATGTTGTTCCTGGATGATTTCTTGATCATCTTTACAAGGGTGTCATAGTTAGTAGGTGGAGCAGGCAGGTGCCGGACTGCATCATCGAGTTCTTTAGCAAATTTTTCCCAATTAGCCTTCTTCAGGTTGAAACGTCGGCGGAAAGGTACCGATCGAGGTGTAACTATGGCGTTAACAGATGACCCTCCGAGAACACTAGTGATAAATAGTAATAGTAATAGTAATAGTAATAGTAATAGTAATAGTAATAGTAATAGTAATCATAATAGTAATAGTAATAGTAATAGTAATAATAATAGTAATATTGATAGTGACAGTGACAGTGACAGTGACATTGACAGTGATAGTAATAGTAATAGTAATGGTAATAGCTCTAATGATCGACTTCCATATATGTCCAATATCGATATCCATATTATATGTCACTGCACCTCTTCTCTCATTACTGAGAAGCCTTGCAACCAGCACTGCACCTTCCTGCCACGCAAACGACAAGAAAATACTCGCGTACCTACCTTTATCGCGCGATTGGAACGCTTCGACCGTTTCCGCGATGCGAAACGGCTTCTCCTGCGCAGTGCTAGCATTGTTGTTTGTCGACTGTTCGTCCGTCCCTCCGTAGTGTATGTAGGAAGTCTCTTTGATAACACCCATCGTCATGCTACATACAAAAAAAATGTAAAAACGCTTGTAAACTTACTATTACGGCCACGTATTTGAATTACTTGTGTTAAATGTGTTATGTTATAAATTGTAATCATGTTAAGGCTCAATATTCGTTCCAAGAAGGCCATGAAAACCATGATGACTCATTGTAAATTTTCTGCTTTCTTTTCCAAGAGGCATGCCTCCACCCCACCAGCATTCTTGCCACTGCATCTCTGTACTAACCCACCACTCAACATTTCCTGATAACATCCCTTCTGTACATTGCGTTTGCAGTGCTCAGTAATAGACTTGGGGATCGACCAACGTATTTAGTTCTCGTAATGGGCCAGTCTACTAAAGCCACACATTGAGTCTGACGCTGTTGCTACATTGCGAAGTTGATGATAATGACGAACAAGAATGAAGAGAGGATACAGGCCTTGCCTGACTCCAGACATCAAGTTACAATGCTGTGAGGGTGTAAAGGCTAGGACGTTCGTTGCACTCAAAGAACTCGTGAATCTTACGAACAAGGTTAACGATCTTGCACGGGTATAATTACGACGACTTCCGTAGCACAACATTGTGAAAAAACAACTACTAAATAACTACTAAATATCAAACTAACTATTGGTTTGATATAAGAAATACGATTACATCAGTCCAAGATTTAAATGCACTTCTGCAATGTTTAGGCAAGTGATGCAGTGAGCATAAACATTTCAAAGCGAGAAGTTTTTCCTATCATGTAATCAGGAGTGTCATAATATAGATTATAATTATTATGATATCTATATCATACACGCCTGATGTAATTATTCCACTCTGACAACCACAGTGTATAAGTATAACCGAGCCTTTAATAAACCAATAACATCACGCTTGCCACAAAACATACATTCGCAAGCACGCACCCACTCACACATGTACACACAGACACGCATGTACACACAGACGCGGATGCGGGGTCTTGTAGTTGTACTATGTCCCTAGTGAAAGCACGCCAAGTATTTAACTAAGCAATGTGATGACAGCTAGAAACATGCTGGTTGTTTGTACTGCGAACCAGCCTACAGAGCGAAATGAGAAGCAGGCTAAATTGGTTTCGGGGGCCTTCCCTGGCAGCTGGTGGGTGACTGACCCATACGCAACTAACACATCTTTGCATTCTGTATAGACAGCTACCGGTTACGTACCATCAGGGGTGAATAATGACAAATGAATAACGAATATTTGACAAAAATTGCGAAATTTTGAAGTTTTGAAATTTTGAAGTTTTGAAATTTTGAAGTTTTGAATAAACGAATATTTGTCGTTATTCACCTCTGGTACCATGCGTACATTCCGGCCCATGCGCTAACAACAGGGTAGCCTTGACTTAGATCGGGCAAGTTAAACCTGCAAAAATTAAGCTAGGTCACTCGAGAGAAACGTCAAAAGTATCCTTTATACTAGACAGCCGCCATATGTGTCCGATCTATTCCAGCTGTGAATCACTGCAGATGTCAGAATCTTTTCACTGTAAACCTCCCACTCAGGGAAATGTCTTTTGTCATTCATAGATATATATGCGGCTGTTCTAAGATAGAGGTGACTGCTAACAGTAACACGGTAACATCTGCTCCCTGCTGCATATATATACGCATCATGAGTCACAGTAAATACACCAGGGGCACTTTCCCTGGTCTTGTGGAATGATCTCAGCCGAGCCCTCTACTGGCTCTACATCTCCCCTCCTCTGCTCGCGCTCTCTCTCTCTCTCTCTCTCTCTCTTCAGCTAGCTAGCTAGCTATCAAGTGTCACCCGAGAGTGCGAGACACACCTAAAAACAGCCCCGCAGCTGGTGATCATTGGTTTCTTGCCACCGTCTGCACGTAATAAACTAGTAATTATATCCTGAAGAATATCGGACTGCACATCACAAACTAATAATTATATCCTGAACAATATAATAATGTCTGCAGAGAATATACGACCACTGCCTCCGCTACCTTTACGGTGCACGAGAACGTAAATCGGAGCCGCAGTACCGCCGCAAATAATAAATAACGCAGTACCGCCGCAAATAATAAATAACGCAGTCGCGCCGTAAATAATAAATAAATAAACATTAGTATAATAATTGCCTGGTGTCGCGCTGTTTTCTTTTCGTGAGAAAGTGAGTAAGTGTGCTCAGACAGGAACGTGCACTAAACTCCATTAACCTGACATCAGTAACACATGTTATCCTCATGCAACCTACTGCATGGGGTTGTGTGCAAAAAATACGAACCGGCCTTCTAAACATGTTACCATGAGTAGCGATAATGAGTAGGGATATTTATGATACAGCGAGTAAGTAAAAGTCAAGGGTGATTTGGAGCGAGTAATGCGAAGAATTTTACA